TGTAGAGCTCCTATGACAGGTCAATGTAGCAGGTTCTTGTAATGGCACTAAAAGTCTCCCAGTTTTGGAGTTTTTTTCTGAAAATTTCATGTCCTAGACTCGGGTGGTTACAGCTGAGTCTCAGCTTCCACTGAAAACCAAGTTTCTCTACTTAAAATGGTCCAGAGAAAAGCTTTGAAATATCCTAGAGGAAGAGGGAAAGGTGGAGAACTAGGGAAAAATGGGGAGAGGAGAAAAAGAGAGAGGAAGAGAGAAAGAAAGAGGGACACATATAGATAGAAAGAAAGAACCCATTTCTTGTTTTTTAAGGTCTCATGGTGTTTATGCCAGTCTTAAGATGTCTAGTGGCCTGATTTGTGGTTTCTGAATGGATTATCTTTGGCAGCACAGAAATCTCATTTAAGACTTTAAACAATTATGTTCTCAGAGTCTCCAAATAAAATGCTTGTGCTTTAACAACAGTGGAAAAGTGAAAGGTTTGGCTTTTTTCCCTTTTGGATCAACAATGGAATGAATGGAAAACTGTTGCTGTGTGCTGCACTGATAAAAGAGCAAACAGATTTGTTTCTAGCAATGCTGGAGCACATCAGCTGAGAGGACCTGATACATCTTTCATCTGGCTATGCAGGTCTGCAGACTTGCTGGGATGCTCCTGCCAGAAAGTATGTTTCCTCTAGAAGCTAAGACCCTCAGTAGTTTTGAAGACCCCAGATTGAGTGTGTTGCTGGATGTAGTGTTGTAAGATGTTGGGAAAGGAGATCTCTCAGCAGTACATAAAGAGCTCTGATGGTAAGCATCCTCCATTTAGCCCTGCTACTGCAGAATCAAGTTCAAAGTGTAAGCAGCAATGCATCTCAATGGTACAAATATGCCAGCTCGCACAAGTCTCTTGGGCTAATCTCAGTGCTCTGGACAGTGCAGCAAGCATGCTCACTTCTATAAGCTACAGCAGTGGAAGTGCACTCTCTCCAGCTAGGTTAGGACAAAGCCCAGCCCTAAACATAGTATAGGTATCACATGGAGACTAAAAGTCACAATATCTTCTGAGTATCCGGGGCTTTGAAAACCGCAAGCAAACCTGCTTCAGTGGACACAGTTCACCATAAGAATTAGAAGACCGTAAGGCTCATGTAGTCTGGCCTTAGGGGTTGACTAAAAGATCATTTGGTTATAGCATGGAAATGAGTGAATGCTGAGGGGATATTCTGTATGCTCTGCTTCATGGGTGCTCCAAATCCAGTGACAGCAGCTGTTTTGGTAAGAATCTTCATCAGACAAATCCATCAATTTTCCACTCCTCAATTATGAATATAAACTCTAGCCCTGGGTCAGCTTTGAGCCACAAACCAAATCTAAACTTAATCTGGATGCAGACACAGCCCCTTCCCCTGTTCAAAACACGCAGGAATTCCAAAGGCAAATTTTTGAATTTTCCATGGTTTGTGATAGTCTCTTTGGAGCAGCATGTGGGCAGCAAGTACGTAGTATGGCTATTGAGGGCCAGATGAGTGGAAGCAGTTGTTTGCTTTGTGGGTAATACCTTGGAAGTAAATAAGGCGGCTCTTTGGGGAAAACATGGAAAAATCAATGGCAGAATCTGGCTGTGTGTCTGTAAACTTCTGTAACTATAATGTTCAGGAAATGTGCAGGGGCTACAACTGGCAAGGAGCACTAGGGCCTGCTTCTAGCCCACTGCAGACCTGTTTTCTCCAGCTTTGAAACCTTAATAGGAAAAAAGAAAGGGAATATTAGCAATTTCTGTCTGAGATTTCCATCCTTTGGATTGCCCACCTCTAGGAGAATTTGCCCTGTGAACATCCACCAAAGTGGATCAAACTATTCAAAGTAGGTAAAAACTATGCCTTGTTTAGAGGGCTTACGCAAAAGGCTTACCCATCTACTGAAACTCAGCAGGTACTTGAACCCTACAAGGTGGTCTAAGTTACTGGTTGAGTGGGCACAGGGTTGCCTCATTGCCCAGGAATGCCTGCTAGCCTGTGAATTCTCAGCTGTTTGTAACCTAAATGCCACTTCAAGAGTTTTTTCCTGAATATACTTTCAAAACTGTTGAACTTCAGACGTGCAAGTGTGTAGGAAACCCAGTGGTGCAGTTGATTTGGGAAACACTGGGTGAGTTTGCCTAACAACAGTTTCAGACATATATTCCAGTTAGGCAGCATAAATGTTTGAATTCCTTGGCTGCTTTCTGGAGTCCCAGGTCTTTACCTTGGCTACAGAGCTGGATCAGACCAGAATTGCTTGGGAGTGATTTTCCTTTATCAGCTACTTTGCAGATAATTTACTAGCAGTCCAAGCTGCATATTTACTTTGAAGAGCAAAAACTTCGTCTTTCAGATAAGATTACTCTCTTATGAGTAAATATCGGGAAGAACACAAGGAAGGGATGAAAACTGCAGACAAAATGGAAAGGAAACGGCTGATCAGGCTGCTAGATAGTTCAGGTTGAAGTACCCTCAGAATCAGTTGGAAAGGAGATTAGAGGGGAAAAAAGTGCATGGCTTTGTGGGACCAAGTGCAGTGCTTTACATGTGGCTGTTAATTGTAGCACCTGAAGTCTGTTGTATGCTAGCCCAAAGTCTTGAACAGAAAAATTAAAGCCCTGTCTAAAAGCCTTTTCTGTGGAGGGGATGCCACACTGCAGGGAAACATGTGCCAGGCTTGCCCTCTGTTCCCATGAGGGAGCTTTCTTTTGGAGCAAATGCCATGGGAAGTGTGCCAGGGGGTAACCTGGGAGAGAGACAAAACGATGATGAGCTGCATCAGCTGCAAACCTGGTTGACGGGTTTCCATGTGGTGCTTGGCTACCCTGGTGACAGACACGTTATAAATACCTCAAGACAGACCCATTTTGGAGGGGTGCCTGCAGCTGTGAGGAAGCTGCAGATTAGAAATTCCAACCGACTCGTCACAGGCACGAAAAATATTTCCCAACGCCCCTCTATGCTCGGGGGGCCTTTCTTAACCAGATGAGACTTCAGTAGTCTCATCAACCTGCGGTTAGAAAGGCTTGTGAGAGCTGCATTTATCCCAAAACCTGATTACTGCTGTTGTCAAAGCCCGTGTGATCTAATGCTTGCCCTTGGAGCAAAATAATGACTAGCGGAGAACTGACTGAGGTTGAAAATGCACAGGCTTGAGCTGGCTGCTTAATGTCATCACAGGGTTGAGAAATGGAGGGTCCAGAAACAAAAGCCTACATATGCACCTAGCCAGCAGGTCACTCTGGCCAAAAAGTGCTTTTAGGGCTTATGTCACAAGCCCTACAAGCCATATGATGCTTGCCATATGATGTCAACCAGCAGAAGACTGCAGGAAGGATTATGTCACTGCTATCCTGACCTATATTCAGGGGGAGTCAGTGTCCACCTTTACTACCATGCTTTAAATTACATATGACTTTCAGTACAATGTCAGAACCACCCTCAGCCATTTCATCCTGTGCTTTATGCTGGTGAAGAAGTGACCATCACACAAAACCTACTTCATAGTAGATAATCCATGTAGGTTCCTACCTCACGGGTGACGGGAATGTTGATGACATGGTTCACTGCATAGGTGAAATGTGAGACAGGTTTTACCCTAAATTACAAACCTCCCAGATATAAAACCTTTCCAGGATAGACTGACATTGCTACAAAAGCAATTATGAAAACTCTTAATAGGCTGAAAACATTTTTTATTTTTGAAAGATAAGCATTAGCATTCTGATGTTCCAACGAGCTCAGTTCCAGGCAGTGCAATACATAGGACACAATCAAGCCCTTGCTACTGTGCAAACAATGGGAAGCAGAGGAAATGATACAAAGCCATGATGGAGTGTGTACCTTCCCCTTCATGAAGACATGAATGAGAACTTACCCGGCTGAATCATTTCTTTCTGATAAATGACTCTGTATTAATTAAACCTAATCACTCTGACATAGCTCCTTATACAGATGTTAAATTGTTACCAGCTTACTGATGATTGCATTTACGAAAAGTAATTGAGCTACCTTCTTTTTGGCATTATCAGAGATTTCCACCCATCACTAACTTGTTCCTTCCTCTACCACAGACCCCTTAGAGGTGCCAAGTGCCAGATTAACTATTTACAGGGCTGCTGTCTCCCTGAAGGGGAAGAAATCTCCAAACTGAAGAAGGAGGCAGGTGCAATAATCATTTTTAATAGTGTTTTTCCTCATCATTGGTCATGATGGTGTTTATAAGGACAAATGGACAAACAAGAATGAAATACTGCAATATTCCTTTGCATCCACAAAAATTTAATTTTTCTGCGCTACAACAAAACTCCTCCTGCCTGGACTGATATTAACATAAGGCTTCTTGGTGCTTTTGGGGCCCTTATCACATCCACTGCCTCTCGTTGCCAACATGTAATGTTGTGGGGTTTTTTCCTGTATGTTTTATGTGTTCCTAAAAAGCTATACCCCACTTGACATCTGCTATCTGGATTAAGGCTATTTATTCTGCTGGCCAAAAAGGGATGGAAATCTATGGAGCATTCAATTTGCCATAATCCACATGCAATGCTCATTTTTCAGGTTGCTGATATGAAAAAATCCAGCAGAACAAGCAATCATGGACTTCAATAAACATCAACAAGGGGAAGAAATACCAGGCCATCTTCCATAACACTTTCCTATTTATTATTTTTGCCTGTGTCTTATTTATTATTTTTGTCTGTGTGGTCTTGTAATCATAAATGTTTCTAGTACAATCTACAAGACTTGCATGTATTACTGAGCAAGGGATTTATCACTAAGACCTTCTAGTAAAGAGAAGACAAAATGCAATGCTTTGAAGGTCTCCTCTGAATTGAAATACCTGAACTGAAAATGGCCAGCACTGAGCCAGCTCAGAATTACTGCTACATTTACTGGAGCTAGTAATGTCCAGAGTTATTTCCGCTCTGCTCTTTTACAAGTCATGTGATTTCATTTCTCCTCTATCAATACTCTAGCAAATGAAAACCAGACTCATAATCATTCAATCAACTTTATTACGTTGCTGCTGTGTGAAAAGTAAAGATTCAAATATTAAGCAGCATTTTAGATAAGTAGAGTAAGCAATTGGTGACTGTTTCAACAACAACAAAGAAAGAGCATTTAAATAAATGATTGCAGAAAAGAACTATTTCATCCAGTCAAAATGTAATTGAGTGCATAACATGGCTGATACCCTGGTGGCCATGAAAATTTATTTACCTTCTGAACCACTGAATAAACTGTGCAGTCTCTGATCGCTGCTGAACAAAGTCTTTAGGCCAGATTCACTGCTGGCACAGCAAACAATTACACTGGTTTCCATTGAGTTGTCACCATTTGTTCCGGCAATGAGCTGGGCTTGCCATTCCTACAACATGGATCTAGAGTCCTTTGAAGTCAATGGAAAGGGCCCTTGACTTCAAGGGACTTTGGACCATCTCTGGATTACCAGGTGTTTTGACAGCAGCTGAATTAGTTATACTGCAGATCACCATGTATATACATATTCATTGTCGTGACACATACTGACCCAGGAATGGGACTAGAAATGTGTCCCTAGCAGCAATACTCTATTTCTGTAACCCAAGCCTGCATTTGGAGATGGTCTCTTCACATTTAGAACATTTCCACTTAGTGCCCAGCCCCTCTGTTTGGAATTTAATTCCATCTAGCATGTTATTCCATCACCCCCTCAAATCGCTCAGTAACTGCCTGAAAATTGAAGCTATTTTAGATGAAGCTTCATTGGAAAAGATGTGGTTATAAACTAACATATTCTTGCCCTGCACCAGCTGTCTGTTCTCTAAACCTAGCTGTGAAAATAATTTTCCCAAGAAAGCTTTCTGGCAGAAGTTAGGTAAGAGAAGGATGACAGAGAGCAAGATCATGCATCTTAATCACCTGTTAGTAGTGTTAAGTTGCAGAGCCTGCTCTTGTCAAATACTGTCCGGCCTGGGTAGAGAAGGTACATGTGAGTAATGCAGTGACTCCAGTCACCACGTAATTAAGAAATGCAGAGAAAGTCCAATGAAACATGAAGCTCTGCTTCCCAGTGACTTGGTGGGTTACCTCAGATGGCATCTCTGGACAGGTTCAGGATGCATCACCTGGGTGGCTCTCAGTTAGACCTGTGTTCTGTCCATCCTGGGCCTGAAGAAGAAGCCACAGGTCTCAGCAGCAGCAATCCACCTTTCCTATTGACAGGCTGATGAAGTAAATGGATTGTCACTTGTGCATCTCAGCACAACAAAAACTTATGAGAGAAGGAAGCCAAGGAGAGAGGAAGCAAAAGTACATACTCTACAGAAAAATAATGAGAGAGTCTGTCCTAACAGGAAGGAATGGCAGTATGAGCTGACCAAGGGAACTGAGGAAGAGAACAAAAATTGTGCCAGTAACACTGGCATTTATATTGATAGATAATGAATCTTGAATTTGAACTATCTCCTGGATGACAAGAGAATGAAATAGAATATCTGACACAAACCACTTCTCAGGTAGCACCAAATGTATTAAAAATGCTTACATGCCTAATGTGACCTAATTGCAACCTCACTGAATTAAACTCAAGTCTCCTACTATGACACCTGGTATTGACACCTCCTGCTGGGTTACCCTTGCTGTTTTGCTGCTCTGTGCCACAGATTCCCAGTTTCCCAGCTATGAAGAGGAATGATAGTAAAACATAATGACTGCTTTAATAAGGCACTAAAGAATCTCCTGCTCTAAAGAGAAGCAAAAGCAAAACAGGCAGATTTACTGTTATTTAGCAGTTATGTATTCAGGTGTGAGATGGATACTTAGTAATGGGATGGTGATATCAGACTGCAGGTTTAAAATAGACACTTTCAGAATATGAAAGTCCACAGAGGAACTTGTGAAATACCAGTTCAGTCACTGACTGTGGATTAGCAATAAAGTCTAAGTTCGAATTCCAGCTAAAAAGCCAAATTTATGGTTGTAAAATATAATGTTTAAACAAACCTGTATCTGACACCAACTGATCATCACAAAACAGGCTTAGAACTGGCTAAAATTCTTCTGGGTTAGCATGAAACTACTGGAAGTTGAAAGCCTTTTCATGTTTTGTCACAATCTCTATAATGGACTTATTATGAAGGTTGTAAAATTTCATTACAGCACATTCATTTCTTGAGCAGAATAAGGCTCAATTTTCCAGTGGAAATAGCCTGGTCTTGATGATGCTTCTCTCTGTGCCAGAGAAAAGGTTCAGCTGGCTTCTTGGATCAGCTTTACAGCCTCTTCACAATGCCAGGCTGCTGCAGAAAGGGGACCCATGGAGCCAAGAATTTGGCCTCTGGATTTCAGTGACATTAACACCCAGAAAGAATTCGTGGGAAGGACCACTTCCATGAGCGAAACTGGAGCCATTCCTTGCAGTCTGGGGCTTGTCTGCACATGTGAATAAATGCATCTGGAATAAGAGAAGCTGTAAATTTAAAGTAGGAGTGTGGTAAAATGCAGCAAGTCATGTGGCAATGTGATTATTTCTTTTTATTTCTGACAGAACTGGTTATGAAAGTTAGTGAAGTTAACACAGGGAAAGACACCCGCATTCCAGTCTCAGTGTCCACGTGTACTATCACTCCAGACTGAGTCGTTTGGAGTTGTTAAATGTTTGCACTGGAATAACTCCATATGCAGACAAACTCTCATTTTTTGCGTAGAAGTGGGGAACTGCAGAAGTCTATCAGGGAATTAATTCAGCTTGCTTATTTCCTCTCAGGACAAAAGAATTGCCCACGTTTGTGAGGTTAGTATAAATAAAATTGCCAGGGTAAAGCAATCAGTGTTCCATTAATGGACATTTCAGAGTGGAGTAAACTTTTTTCAACATATCAGCTGGAAGACTCAACCATTCATGCTTTTAAAACATGAATTTTGAATGTCTCTTCCAGCTTTCAAGCACTTTCTTTGAAGGGAAAAATGATCTGCTATCATATTCACCCAGATATAAGTAAAAAACATGGGTTTAGGGCAATCTTGTGGAAAAAAAAACCCAAATAACCAAATAACTTGCCTTATACTTAGGTGCAACTTACTTGAAGAGGAAACCAAGTCAGTCACTTCTGAGAAGCTATTTATCTGTCCAGTTTTTTTCTTGCCTCTCTTTTGGTAAACATTTTCCCTATTTTTTTTGCCAGCCATAAACTATCGTAATATATGCCCAAGTCAGCAGCTTTTAATGATTCTTACAGAATGCTCATACAGAACCTGTAGGGGTACCATCTGTTATTCACTGCTCTTTCAGGGTACTTGTACAGGACAGATCCTCTCAAAATGAAGAGAGCAGAGGAGAAAGGAAAGGAGGAAAACCATGGGGATCTCATTGGAAATTATGCTTAACCTCCATTCTGACCTTCCCTGGGAACCTGATGGCATTGCACTGAGACTGGAGTGATTCTATCACACAAATATCAGTTGGACACACTTTGAGAAAAAAACATCATTAAAATCTTTGTTTCTCAGAGGAAAGCAGCTATATGTCTCTGTGTTTACAATGAAGCATCTTTCAACGTCCATTCTTACAATGAGCATCTTCCATAGGCTACTATTACATATACTGTTCTTCCCAAATTTTGTCTACCATTAGGGTAGCATTTATGATATTTTTTTCTGAAAATAACAATCTGTTTTTTTCTGATAACTAGCAAGATTGGCCATTTAGCATGAATCACCTAATTCATTCCAGACCTTGGACTTTGATATTTATTTTGAGATATTTCTTATTTTGGAGCACAGTGAAGGGTACATTTCACAGACCATTTTACCAGTTTCATTGGGTAAAGAATGAATAACAATTCCCTAACTTGAAAATTGTTGTTTAACCACTGCTGTTAAATGAAATCTTACTCTGTTTATGATTCAAGTATATATCTTTGTTGCAAAGGAAAGATAAATAATGATCCTAACCATATTAGATAATTAGATGCTTAACATAAGCAGTAGGAGGGAAAAGATGTTGAAATAGGTCTATGGGAGGTGAACAATTTGTACTGCAAAATCCATTAATGAGTACTAGAGCCATATGACCTTTGTTAAGTCTTTTTCTCAGCCCTTTTTAATGTATAGCTACTCAGACTCACTTTAGAGCCTATTTGAAGCTGTCATGTGCCCAAGAGAGAGCAGACATACAGTAAGGATGGCTCAAGACAGCTTAAGTTGCTGTACGCATTGCATGTTCTGCTCTGCATGAAAGTCAGCAGAACAAACCACAAGTCTTGCACCTCCACATTGCAGAATCTTGGCACCAAATTACCTCTATGAGCTGGTTTTGATTTTATCCAAGTTGCCATACTTTGAATCTCAGCAGGACCCTCAGTACTACCAGGCAGTACTCCATTCTGCTGTTGGTCCTAAGAATGCTGATCTTGGGCAAAGGAGAGGAGCAGGCAGGTAAAGCCTTTGTTCCTTGTGAAAGATTCACTCCAACATGTCTGTCAGAGCCATAAATCCCTTGTCCTTAAACACTTTTCTCCTTTCACTATCACTAAAGTCAGTCATAATATCAAATTTTGTCTGGGTAAACATTTACAGGGATAATAAAGAAGGAATTAATATAACAGTCATGCGATATGGTGAGTTTCACAGTGACCATTATGAATTTATTGTTAAGAGGAGATGCAAAAAGCATATGTATGTTGTGCTACGTGTGGAATCATGCTGTTTTGCTGTGTATATTATGTGCTAATGCAGGACAGGCAACTCAAAGGTCACTGCCAAGGGAATATTTGATGTCCTGGAAATGCCCCAAAAGTTCTTTTAAGCCATTTAGGTACAGGATGTTGAACCAGTACCTTCTGCATTTAAAGGGCTCTGTTATGGTAGTCTAATATTTGCAGAAAGTGCCTGCTGAAGGCTGAGCAGGCATGTCAGGGTAACATTTCTCTATTCATGTAATCCCAACAACGTAAGAGTGACCAGGACATGACTGTTTTACAGCCAAACAATGTATTAGAAATGAATAAGCAAGAACTAGAGCATACACTATACTTTTTTAAGCTTCTCTCCTTCACGGATATGACAGTGTCATCACAGTCTTACCTGTTCTCTTTCAAGATCAGGCTGTCATCAGACTAACACTGAATAAACACATTTGGAAGCCACCAGGAACTTGAGTTCACTTTTCCCGGTCCTTTGAGTCATCTCAGCAAATCTGAGAGTTGTAGGGTGTTTTTTAGCCTGGCATCCTATAGAAGTGGCAAATGTTCAGTCATATGGATGAATATGAGTGTGCATGATTAGGGTTTTTTTTCTCTCTGTTTTTCCATTCTACAAAACCTCCCCCAGTATCTTTTAGACCTAATGGCTATTCGCCTTCCTACCTCTATTCAGAAAATTAGAGAACCACATTTTTCTGGAGACCACTATGCTCCCCTGTCAAATTCTTGGCTTTCCACAAATATTGTCATCAGTTTGGAAGATGAAGTGAAACATTTGTGAAGGGTGGTGGATCTGACTTCAGCACAGTCAGCCTGCAGTCTCTGGGGTTCATTTCTTCCCTTCCTCAGTCATGGCAAAGAAGCAAGAGAAGTGAAATTGTGTTTTTTCAGTCACCTACCTCCACAGAAAAAATATCAAAAAAAGAGGGGGGAAAAAAAAGAACAATGATGTATTGAAGCCAAAAGCCAAAGCAAATAGCTCAGAAACAGTCTGAGCCGAAATAAGTTCCCATTCAGCTGTACAAGTCCAAATAATTAAAAAGACCCTAAAAAATGTTCTGCTCACTCATAGCTCACACTTGAAAGAAAGATGAATATGTCTTATTCTTCATTAAATTTAAAATGTAAATTTTAATTTACTGTGACTTTTTTCTTCTGAATGATTTAGTGATTGGAATGGAGGATTGATTCAATGGACATACGCACTTAGTGCACACAGGGACATGGGGCTCTACTGTTTTCTTTAGTCCCTGAAATTTTAGACTTAAATTTACATTTATTTATGAAGTCAGTACATCTTAGAGACAAGTTCAGTCATCCAATTCAGTGGTACCCAAAGTGGTATCTTCCACTTGTGGGGTAGGGAGAGGAGTGAGAAGATGCTTCTGTTGGCTGTGTAGCAACCTGACCTGCTGGAGCTGTAAATGCTCTGTCCTGAAACTCTCGGGACAGGCAGCTGGCAGGCAAGAAGGCTCTCACATCCTCCAGCACCATGTGAGCAGGACAGTCCCTACTCATGGGTAAGGCAGATTTGGGATGGCCATGGAATTTTTGTTTTCTGGTTCTCCATCCTATGAGGAAAGGCTGAAAGAGTTAGGGTTGTTCAGCCTGGGGAGACCTTATTGCAGCCTTTCAGTTCTTAAAAAGGGCCTTAAGAAAGATGGGGAGGGAGAGACTTTTTAGTGAGACCTGTTACAGTAGGACGAGTGGTAATGGTTTCAGACTAAAAGGGGGAAGATTCAGGCTGGACATGAGGAAGAAATATTTACAATGCAGTGGCTAGGGAACCTTCTTGGGTGAAGTTAAGTCTCTGTCTTTAGACAAAGCCTTGGATCTGTGATTTTCCCCATGGAAGAGCTAACCGTTTATATAAATGAAGCCTCTCATGGTCCTCTTCACCTTGTTATCACCCCTATAGCATACCTTCCCTTCTTCTGGACATTGATTCTTGATTCCAAAGGCATCTCTGATCAATTTGTTCTGTGCTTCTTTAGGCAGAAAGCTAAATACATTTATTGTATAAAATATTACAGGCAGACTCCAGAGCTGCATTCACTAGGCCACATGGTGCTGGGAAGCTAAGGACAGTAACAGTAAGCATAATGACACCAGAAGCCGTTTCCTCACTGCAGACCTTGGGGGCTCTCAGACCAAGACATGGCCCACAAACCCAAAATTCGTACTTAATATAGCTTTTCTTTGCCAGAGCTTTAGAGGAGCAAGATCTCTAGAACTCAGAAAGCTGCAAAAGTTATGTAGGTCAGAAACGATTTCTAAGTCACATTAGAAAAGCTGACGTATGTATAATAAGTATTCTGCATGGACACCACTGCTGCCTGGTTTGCCATCCACAATCTGACTGCTTTAGTGGTCTGCTGAGTCCCTAGGTTGTGTGCTGGATGCAACTGCCTACACTAAGCACCTGGCTCTTTATCTCTGACATATCACACCCTCTTCCATGCCACAAAGAGATCAGAAACTGCTCAAATTAAATTCCTTTATTAATGGAATGGTTTTGATTGACCAGAAATGAAATGGATGAAAGGAATGCTTGTCCTTTATGGTTGCCAGAAAAAGTAAATACTGTCTACAGACATTATACAGCTTTCTTTTAACCAAAATTAAATACGGTCCATAGCAAAGCAAGCAATCTGTAGAAATGTATTGTTATGCTGCTATTACAAACTATTTACATTGGATGAAAAACAGGTGTCTCAAAGCCAACTTTAACCTTACTTGATTACTCTTAATGATTCTGTGTATCTTGCCCTCATCTTCTCTTTTTGCTATTATATATAAATCAGACACTAACAAGGTTAAAAGAATGAGTAATCACAAAACAAGCTCTGGGTAGCAAGACAGAAAATAAGCTCTCTTCCTCACCACCCAGCACAACTACTCTGTCACCCTCCTTCAAGATTTAAGGAGTTTATCAACTTCCTGCAGGCTTTTCCGACATCCAACCATTTGTCTCTCTGATCAACTTATTTTCCAGGTAAAACCTGTGAAGGCAATACCTGGTACAAGAATATACATTTTAAATATACATATTTCAAAGGAGCATATTTTCTTCTAGCAGTACTGTGTGCTGCCTCTGCGAATGCATGTTCACAGTAAAACCATGTCAAATAAATATTTGAAGGAATCAGCACAGTGCATCCAGTTTCACTTTCCAAAGGGAAAGTGTGGTATGTCTGCTTATAGTGGCGGTATAAGGCAGAGACATAATACAAATCCAACTTTGCTAAATCACAATCATGAAAAAGAAATCCTGGCTAATTACAAAATACTTGATTGATAACTGGACCAAACAAAGAGATAGGTTTACTATACACCAAAGCTATTTGCAGAAAAGGACTTCACTGCTGGTTTCATAGCAGACATACAGCACAGAGAGTATGTATTTTCAGTTTGCAAGAATGATTAATCAGAATAGTTTGTCTATTCAATCAAACATTGCTCTGCTGCAACAACATTGTTCTCAGTTGCCTCTCTCTTTGATCTTCCTGTCTGTATTTCTCCTCTAGTTTTTGTTTTTCAGAGTCCATACTATAAAAAGTAGAGTCTGTGCTTCTCCTAATCTTCTCAAACTGACTGAAATCTGCAACATACTTTCCATTTGGAGAGAGAGAAACCACAGGCACGAACTCGTAGCCCCAGTGGATCTCCTCAGGGATATAGGAAGTTCTGCTTTGGCAGACAGCACTGGTGGATTCCACCGTGGCATTGAGGAGCACCACAAGCTCAAAGTCCTTATCCTTGAGATTTTGAGGTGTGAGATCTCTCAGAGGGCTGCTTTCATCCAAAATATGGTAGAAGGTTAAAGGCAAAATGAGAAATGGACTCTCTGAAGAGGAGTCAACATTGAACTTGACACTGGCTTGATTCAGCAGGATCCTTTCCCCTTCTTTGGTTTCATATGTCTGAAGAAGCTTCCCAGACAGCTGACACTGTATCAGAAGGCTCTTCCTCATATTTGCTACTCTGATCACCAGGCAAAGTTCTCCATTGTGTTTAGTAATGACAGCACAGTGGCTGAATTTAATAGTCTCTGCCCTTTTTTTAGGTCTTGCAATTTTGGCCAGAAAGGTACCTGTGATGAAGATTTCTATCAAGGTGGTGATGACCAGTTGGGCTACAAGTAAGAAAATGGCATGAGGACACTCCTCTGTAATGAAACGAAATCCATAGCCAATGGTTGTCTGTGACTCCAGGGAGAAGAGGAATGCCCCAGTTAGAGAGTCTACATTCTTGACACATGGCTCATGCTTTGGTGTGAACTTGTTTATTTCTAAATCACCATGAAGGAATGCAATAGCATAGTAGATAACTCCAAAGAGGAACCAGGTCATAACAAAAGTAGCAGCAAATAAGGTGAGTTTGTACCTCCACTTCATGTCTATAACTGTAGTCCACAAATCCTGAAGGTAGAGTAGGTAAATGCCATCGACTTTGTCTATCCGCACATTGCTGTGACCGCTTTTGGACATCACACGGGGTTTGTGCGTTTTGAGCATGGCAGTATCAATGCCTCCGTTAACCAGTGGGACACGGGACATATTAATCTTTGTGGTTTCCATTCTCACTGCTTCAGTCCTAAGGAGAGAATAAAAGAAAATTGTTACTTACTGAAACCAAAACACATAATTCATTCTGAAAAGCATTTGAAAATGTCGATGGACAGAAGGCACATACATAATCTAAACACAGCAGCAATGAATAAAACGGGTTGGAATATGAAGTTACTATCATACAATATCAGACATTACAAATAATTTTATATTCATTTTACCAGGAAAAAAAAAAAATCCATCTTTGATTCTGGTGACTGCCAAATACAGAGAAATAGGTTTCTTTTATGATAGCCTGCAAAGGAAATTTGACAAAGTTGAAATTTTATATTAGCACTTTATTTCTGTAAAATGAATTAAATTATTTTCTTACATTTCTCTGGAGAAGAGTCTCTTTTTGATTACTGAGCAGGTTTTCTTTAATGCCCTGAAGAGAGACATCTGATCAAATTTAAAGTCGCGTCAATGCTTGGTTTAGAAAGCAGATCCAGCACACCACCTCTGTCTCTTCCTGCGACGGAGGCAAAATGAGCCAGACCAGCTTTCACTGTGAACAATTAACTTCCACAAGTGATTTACTCAATCGGATCTGGCTCTTTGTTACAAACCTACAACCAACCTAGAGGGAAACAAAGCAGATCTGAACATATCAAAGTTGAGTTTTGGAAAGGAATATTTACACCTGAATACGCTTTGAAGCTGTTTGCACTGTACAGTGCAAAATACTATTTTAAGCTGTCTAAAGAAAAAAAAAAAAGGAGGCAATTCACAAAGTCAGCATTCTAGGCGTGGGCCCTGACCTGCACAAAGCCAGCAATCATTGGACCACCCGATTCCTGAAGTTTGTTTACTGTGCATCAGTCCGGATGGAGACTAAGTGTGCAGACACTCAGGACTGAACAAAGCCCATGGAGTGAAGTGGAACGGTGCCTCTGCAAGTTTGATGAGGCAAGTAACAGGACCCAGCTTGCAGGACCAGACAGTGATTACGTAGAGCAAGGACAGTACATGTTATAGTCGTTTCCAACAACAAAACTTCCTGCTGACAAAAACAACAAAGAAAAAAAAATCCCATGCATCCTTTGTGCTTTGGCAGGTTGCACAAAAAGCATTGTTTTGTTCCATTGTTTTCCTCAAAAAGAGCCTTAAGCAAGTGATTCGTTATCATGAACCACTGGAGAAGAAAAAAAAAAGGGGGGAGGGGGGAAAGAATGTCTTCCTTATAGCTACTTAAAAGAATTTTGCAGGAAGTACAAGATATATTTGCGGCACACACATGTGCCAATCCAGGACATCAGCATAATTGCTCACTGAAGTACTTTTCCTGTTATGTCAATTACGGAGAATTTTTGTTTATGACTATACCCATCATACTGTTGCTGGTTTTCTGGGAAAAGGTAATTAAACTCAACTCCCATTAACACCTGCAGCTCATTCTAATTTTGTTTTAATCACCAACATTTCTCTTCCATGGCCTAGGAGCCAATGTCATCTATATATATATATATATATAAAAGAAAGGAATGCATCAATGATCCCAGTAGGAGATTCCTTATGTGACAGTCAAATCAACACACAGTGCGCAGCATGTCCGGATAATAAACAGGAAAAAACCTTCAAGTGATCTGAAAAAGAACAACTGGAGGAAATGGGGGGGTGGGAGGGGTAGGGATGAGAAGGAGCATACATGCAACTGCTCTTTAGGCAAACTCAAAATCAAGCGCTACTGTCAGTGCGTGGTAAATACATGCAACCTCTAATGGGAAATCTCTTAGGAAAATGCATGCTACTTAGTGAAGAGGCTCCATTCCCCACACCGAACCTCACCCTGGATAAGCCATGGATACAAAATGTGTGCAAAAATCTGTCCCAAAATAACTACACTTCTTCCTCTCAAGCACACTTCCCTTTAGCCATTACTTCCAGGCACAAAACATTATTTTGTCAGAATAAATTTCCCTGTCACAAATTGCTAGGCCAGGAGATAGCTGACTTCTCCAGTCTGGCACCGGGGACACATCCCCATCCCATCCCCCTGCACAGCCTACCTGGACGCCTGCTCCTGGGAGCAGCTCCCCAGGGCTGCTGACTCCTCCTCCTCCTCTGGAGGCAACGAGGATGGAGACAGCCAAGGCTCCACCTTCCCTCCTCAGTGTTCCAGCTGGTGGGCTTAAGCTGGTGGGGCAGGGACAAGGCTCACGGGCTTGGCAAAGAGCAGACTTACCTGGTCAGGGTCAGGGGTGGCCCAAGGTGAGGGGCACATGGACACTGCACACCACGCTCACCATGGCTCTACCACGCCCAAGAAACACTGGCTTCTGCACAAGTGGTCAGCATATATGTAGTAAATTTGGCATATTTGGGATGCACATGCTGTGCACAGTAGCCCTGGCCCATATTCACTGTGGCACTGATACTCCTTTCGTATGCTGGACTTAATATGCATACACCACACCATCAATCTACAGCACCAGCCCGGTTCACAGTTTCAACCCACACAGGGTTCTTGCCCCTGCCTCTGCTCTGCCCTGAAATACGTTGTTCCCTGTCCAAGAGCCTTGAAATGAGAACATCCTGACACTGCAGTCTGCCAGATTTCCACACCTGGTGGATTATACTTATCACAGACATACTGAAATGCCATAGTAGAAGAGTTCACCCCACAAGATGGGAGGTAGGAAGGTAGTTGCAACGCACAGTGTCTTCCCTGGGCTACACCAACAAAGGGACAGCTGCAAAATTTGCCATTTCAGGCTTAACCTGAGAAATAAAGTCCTGCTGCAGCCCTAGGCGATGTCTGGCATGCTCCAGGCTGTGTTTCAGCTCACAATCAAAGCCATTTCTCACTGTGCCTTTTTTTTGTCCCCATGTGTAAAGTGGATCTCCACATGTGAGGTCAGCATGGCAGAGCTGTTAGTTTTGGAGTCTGCCATAGATGGAAGAAGCTGCATCAGAGCTCCCCTGTCATCTTTTGTGTCCTCCCCTGATTTGTATTTCTGTATGTGACAACGTTACTCAGCTTTACAGTGATTTCCTGAAATGGATCACAGCCAATTTCTGATGCTTTTTTTGGTGGTAGGGTATTTTTTGTGTTGATTTGCTTCCTATTTTTTTTTCTTACATCACTTTTTCCCGTGTGATCCCAAATTCCCCTAGTGCTCTTTTCCTCTCCAGGGAAATTAATCTTTGCTTCCTTTCCCTGCAGAAATACTTCCCGTCTTGTCTGCCACACTGATATGGGAAGACAGGATCTGTCACTCCATCTTGGAGCAGCACTGCCTTTGCTCCCATCCGTTATCACTGGCAGCAGCCAGCAGCAGTCATCTTGGGGAAGAAACTCTCATGAAACCAACAGTGGAACAAAACTGGGCTTCAGAGAAGGGATCTCCCCTGCCCTCCCTGCCCCACTGCTTCCTGAGAAGTGAACAGTACAATACCCCACAGTAATCATTTGTGGGTGTTTGTGTGTATAAAATCCATGTTATAACACCTTCATTACTATTTCCCATCTTATACCTTATATAGGCACCTCAGATGCTCTGTGCCCTGACAACTATCCCCAGCTCCCCAGCCAAAAGATTTTGATCGGTTTGATTTCTACTCCTCTCCCTCTAAATCAGAAAGAACGTCTACCACAGTAAATTAATAGAAGCAAACAAGCCTGAATAATAATAGTAGTACACATCTTTTTTAATTAAAGAAACATCTACTATGCATTAGCTAACTGATTTTATAGTGACAAAGTAACTTTTAGTACTGTAAAAAAAAAACCCTGCTCAAACTGTAGCTGCAAAATAAAAGTGAACTGAAATACAGTTAAGGAAGAAGGTACTTCAAGAAGGAAGAAAATCAAATTGTCTCAGACTTGTGTATCACTCTAACGTGCTATGAATTACCTCCTTTCCTCACCAGCCTCTGAAACAGCCAAAGGAGACTCCCCATCAGAGCACACGCTGGTAAGGAAGTTTAGTGCAGACAAAGTCAACAAAATGTAGAGCTACGTACCAAACCACCAACCATGAGTACCTTGGTATTAAGGTAATTCCAGCAGCCAGGGATATAACAAGCACATTAACACTGTTTCCAGAGACTACATTATCAAGAAGTTAAAGCCAGCTTGCATTCACACAAAAATGTTCCTGTTGCATGTAGCCAGATTTGCTTGTGCAAGTCCTCTTTTGGCAGACACAACTGATTAAAAGTGTACAGGAGCATGACTTGGTCAAATGGCCTCAGCTGTTTGCTTTTTTTCAGATCAGATATGCTTTGCCACTTGAGCAAACCCTCACGCACGCTTCACTGGCACTCTGACACAGGGCAAAACTTGAACTGCTTTTCAACCAGCATAAGCCACTAGCAGGCTTGGCATTAAAAAAAACACACAGGGTTGAGGAAAGAAAACATTGAAAAGGAGTACGTAATCTCCAGATCTTTCCTAGGTCTGATGTGGTTCAGTAGGTTATAAAAGTCCCTCCTGAATTCTCAGTACTCCGCCTAGCATGAACATCGTCTTCCCTCTAGGCTATGCACCAGGTTATGCTGAGCAATTGTCAACCAGCAAAATCCTCCTCTGTAGCTGGGTTATGGAATATAAAAGGATAGAGCAGAGGTAGAGGGAGGGAAGCAGTGGTTGCAAAAGGGTGCTTCATTTTTGTCACCAGCTGCAGCTTGCAGCCATACAGCCGGGCACTACTACCCAGGACTTAAAAAGTCCTCAAGCACTAGGAGTGATCAGGGTTTAGAGTACTGATAGGAAGGCTGGTAGTCAGTCATATTGTGAAATATGCTGCCTTTAAAAACTAAATTAACACCTTTTTATTTTCTTTCACAAAAAGACTGAGCCAACAGAGCTGTAAATAACCCCTCAAATCAAAACCAGCTCCCAAAGCTGTGCCTTTATCTCCCCATCCCTCCACAGAGCCACCAGTCAGGGTAGGGTAGCCCTGTGAGTGGTGAGTCTCCCTGGGCTTGGGCACCCAGGAATGGATGAAGGCAGAGGCATGGCTGAGCCCTCAGGCAAGGTAGTGCCCAGGAGCTGCTGAACTGACTGCACCAGAGGTGGGGGGAAGCAGTGTGGTGCATCGTGGGAGCCAGCTGCATCTTTGTCATCACTCATAGCAGAGCCAGGGCAACAGCCATTTACAGACCGGTGTTAAGGAAGTGAAAACCCAAATCCATATTTATCTCTCTTAGGCTGCTTGCCTGGCATCTGGCCATGGAAGATAAATTAAAGCTGAAGTCTCATGGTGCACTGTTTCTGAGGGAGATTTGTACAGGAATCTTGTTCTTTCCAAGGGTAAGGCTTTGCAGTAACTATTGATTTGTGTAGATGAGCCTTATAAACTACACTGATGCAAGCAAGTAGAAAAACAACCAAGCAGGCAGAGAGAAGGCAAAAGATGATTCAAAGCTGACTGAGGTTAACGGATAAGCTGCCAGTGATTTCACAGGTCTCTGGATCAGGCCTCCAAGTGGACAAAAAACACACACTGCTAGTGTCTGAACAGCTAA